CCTTTCAGCCGTGGGGGCGTTATAATGTGACGGTCAATCCCACTATTCGTTGGTAAAAGAGTAGCCCAAGAGTTGGCGGTGGGTGATGATTACTAGCTGCCTTCCCTCTAGTCTTACACTGCTAAATTAGGGACAGCTAGCGCAGATAGCCCTCGTGTGGCTTTGCGCGAAATTCAAAAACAAACAATACTGCGATTGATCAGTAAAACCAACCCACCCCCCTCATAGAACAGACTGTCGTCCACAACTACTTTAACCTCTTTCTAGAAAAAAACACATTGTTTGTAACCACATAAGATTCCCACCAATCTACCAGTGTTTATCAAAAACATTCGGGTTTGTACTTTCTTGGATATAGCGCGAAAACAAGAAACTAAATCAATACGTCACTTGTAGTTAAGGGGTGGGGTAATTACACTAACCACTCTGGTTGTGAAGAAGTCGTAGTTAACAGAAGTGTGGCAAAAATGCTCTGAAAAAGGTGAAGTTTTCAACTTACAAACTCAGGTTTTGTAAAAGAAATACTGAACAGTTCTGAATACAACAATAAATCTGGTCAACCCTCACGTGTCCCGAGCATAAGAACTGAGAACGAGTTAAAAGTCAAATATTTATTCACAAACGTGAACAATTCATTGTTCTGAGCGCGTGAAGCATCTGTTGAATTTATAATAACTTAGTTTCGAAAGAGAAGTTACAGAAACATTCAAGAGATGAAATAAATTAACACCACTAAATCTACATGTTTTTTTTTAATACCATGCAGAGCTAATACGCGATGGTGTTAAATATCTCGGACATATGTATATATAACTCATAATACAGCAAGCTCCGGTCTGTTGAAATATTTATAATCACGTGACTATATGAGTGACGATCCTTGGACCAATGAGCACTTGCAAGGCGGTACTAAACATGTTAAAGATTGAGAGAAACTTATAGCGGGAGCAGGCAGCAGTGGCCGTTGTGAACTCGCGCCGTTCTGACGCCGTACTCCAACGAGAACGTGTGTTGGTTACCCCATATGATGTGTGTACATGCTGGGGTTTAGTAGCAGTGTCTGGGACGTGGCTAAACCCAAGCAGACTGAATGTCGAACTGTGCCATACCGCTCCTACTATACTATCCCGCAAGGCCTCGTAGTTTTCGAATGGGTCGACATTAGATACTACTCAACTTACCATACTGAACAATAGGTTATCGTACGCTTTGAATTAGTGGCCCCGAAGAGCAACAAAACAAAACTGGTAGTTAAAATCGTGGAACTTAATAATCCTTCGAGTTTTGTAAAATATGACCAAAATTCCAACCGCAAAGATTTCGCCTTCTAAGGCAGGCGAGGCCGCCGGCATGGGCGAAGCACAGGCGCTCAGTAAGTTTATCTTTTACTATTACACTTATAATTTGTGTAAATACCTAACTTAAATTAAATATATATATATATATATATATTATACCTTGAAGAAACATACATAAGCGATGTTGTGATGATAAATCCCGGATATATTAACTAGAATCAATTTCATACAAGATTTCTTGTAAAGGATACGATTTCAGGTAATCTAATAATAAGACAAGTGGGTAGGCCTAATTTTAAATAATAAAAAAAAAACGTGCAGAACACCTGGCATACGGTAATTATTCCAGTGGGTGCTGGTTTCGTTTCGTCGGTTTCAAATGTACAATATAGTTTCGATTGTAAAATTGTAATATTTTATTTTTTTCATACTTAATAGAATAGAAAGTCCAGAAACACCTACCATGTGGTTAGCATTGCTGAACATAGAGAGAGGCTCTGTAGGAAACAAATCGGTTTTTCAGACTCGGAAATCGTCTGACATGTGCGGCTATCGCTCATAAGGGGTATTTATAATGGATGCGATATATCTTGTGTTATTCTTTACCACAATATTCAAATTTGTATCGATCTCTAATGATTTTGGTAGTTAAACGTTTTTTCCCTTTTTTTATTGTATGTTCGTTCGTTTGTTTGTTTATTATTAAGCACAAAGCTACATAATTGGCTACTTGTGCTGTGACCACCACGGGTATCGAAACTCGTTGTTTAACGTTAAAATTCTTCAGATTTGTCGCTGAAGCACTGACCTGGTGTTGATGAGTTTTAAAACCCATTCTTTGTCAAATACTTTGAATGACAAAACTCTTTAGCAATCGAACAACTAGGGCCAGGTGTGGACTATGGTGTATCCTACCTGCACTATAAATCCGAGGGTTAAGATTTCGCGTGTCCCGTTGCCATAAAATGCGCTCCCCCACTTTAGGACCGTGGGTGCTCTATAAAAATGTCTCCGAAATCCAGCAATTCGTTCAGGCAAGAGTAGCCCGAAAATTTCCGATAACTGCTGTTGGCTATCTGTTCGTGTTCTGTGTCAAGGTGGTAGGTGACCTAGGAGGAGTCAGGTGCAAGTATGACCTCTTCCTCCTTTGAAAAACTGCTTTCCATCTATAGTCTATCACCTCAAAATTAGGGTCGGTTGTACACATACACACAGCCCTGTTGTAGGTTTGCATGAAAACTTTAAAACAAACAAGTCGAACATCTATCACCTCAAAATTAGGGACGGTTGTACACATACATACATACATACATACATACAGCCCTGGTGTAGGTTTGCATGAAAACTTTAAAACAAACAAGTTGAACAGCAAAAAATTTTGTGAAGAAGGTTGTGTCAGGTTAGTTATGGTTATATTAGGTTTTAAAATAAATCATTTTAATTGGTTCTACAGATTTAGTTATGGTTATATTAGGTTTTAAAATAAATCATTTTAATTGGTTCTACAGATTTAGTTATGGTTATATTAGGTTTTAAAATAAATCATTTTAATTGGTTCTACAGATTTAGTTATGGTTATATTAGGTTTTAAAATAAATCATTTTAATTGGTTCTACAGATTTAGTTACGCTTAATATTTTGGGTAGGTTTGGGGTGCTTTGGGTTTTTTTTGCATGTTTAGATATAGACATAGTAATAAAATAAAAATAAAACCTACTCCATTGGATATTCTAAATTCTTCTTTGCCCATATAATATTCTACTTACTACATGCCGCTGCTCTCGTATGCACGTGCTCTTTCTATGTAAATTAGCTTCAGCTTAATCTAAAATTGACGGAGCACTCGTACAGAAAAACGTAAAAAAAAACTCCATATTTTGCTCAACAAGTAAAAAGTCTTGCAATAACCTATTACTTATTTCCTCCGGAAATTCAAATTGTAAAGAGTAATTTTTTAACTTCTTATATAAATAAATTCAAATAAAGGCTCATCTTATATTACCCTCATCTATTAATTTTAAAGAAAATACCTATTATTGTACTTTCAACTAATAAGAATGTAGAATAATATGTTAAGCCTTGTTACCGCTTTTCCTTTAATTCATTCTTTAAAGATGTT